GTCTACTCCTTGGCCATCCCAATACGTCTACGGATCTCAGTGTTGCATTTATCCTCTGTCAGAATGTTTCACAGATGATTAAACTTCCCCATCTGCTTGATTCAAATCGTATTTCGGGCTCATCCTTTTAATGATGACAATGAATTCTGTTTTCTTATAGTTTTTGCTTAGTCCTTTTTTCACATTCTCCGTCGCTACCTTCTGTTGGAGATTTTGTAATTTCTTTTCAGTGTCTACTATCAGTTCCGTGTCATCTGCGTAGAGTGACTAGCTGCGCCTGCTCGATCTAAGATTCTCAGCTGATATAATATGGAAGGTTATATTGAATTCAATGCTAGGTCTGCTTGCTAAGAAAGTCGGCACATTGTGTCGTGATAGACATTTTTTCTCTCTTGCATATTTATATGTCTACCATTGGTCCATGCTTTGAATACTGCTGCTACATCTGGTCTGGTGTTCCCGCTGTATATTTAGAAATTCATGATAAAATCCAAAGAAGAATTAGAAATGTTTTGGTCATGACCTGGAATCTCGGCTTTAGTCACATTCCTACGGCCATTCCTGTGCCTTTTCTATAAATACTTTTATGGTGATTATTCGGGCGAACTCTTCGCTATGGTACATCAACTTTATGAATTTAAGTGCAGTAGTAAATTGGCTACAAGGTCTCATCAATTCAGAGTTAAATTGGTTAGTTGCAATCGTAAGTTCTATGCTAACAGCTTCTTCTCATGCTTCTCGTTTGTGGAATTTCACGTCAGGCCTCATGCTTTCCAGCCAACTTTGATCGACAAAAAATTAAATTCAATGTCAATGGCTATCTACTAGCCTTATTAGTCATCTATTTTCGCTTCTTGATGTTTCTATACCTTTTTTTGTTCTGTCACGTTCAGTAACTCCTTGTGTCATAGCGATTCCCTGCCTTCAGTAGCTTGCTAACTATTACAGGCTTCAGCTGTACAGAGAAGAGACTGATTCAAGCCGAGTGTGACACTATTTAGCGGTTGCGTGAAAATTAAAAGCGAGAAATAATTAAGGCGAGAAGAAGCTATCACGAAAGACATACTGAGCGATGTTATTTTTTTAACAAAGAAAAGTGGTAAAGATTTTATTTTCATTTGCGAAAAAGTATTTTTTTCTCGCAGAAGATAGGAAATTCGTAAGATCTCGGATCTGTCGGAATTAGTTTATGCTATGACGCGGCGAATAAAATATAACAATCTGCCCATGGCAATAATGGAAATTTCAAATTGGTCAAATGGCCTACAAAACAGAATGCTGGAATGCGACCACCCCCAAAGAAAAAGGAAGGGAAAAGAGAAGAAGGGAAAAGAATAAACCATTAACTATCTTTCGGGGATATCATTTGTTTTTGGGGAGAGACACCTGTTTTATATCCAGACCTGGACATGATAAAAGTTTGTTGCCGGGACAGATCGCTGGCGACAGGGTGCGAAGACGTCCAGTTGACCACCCATTTGACGATTGGCGAAAATCTCGTTGATAAATTCCAGAAGACATTCGGTTAAGATAGAGATTAAGAAGCACACTACGAGTCGTAGAGGTCTGGTGGAGGAAAAGAAGGAAAAGAAAAAAAATGAAGATAATTTTCTTCCTTTGAGCGATAATTGTGGACTGAGGCCAGACTAGCCACACCCACGCTGCTGAGCGTTCATTGGCTGAATGGTGGCGTGAGCAATGGGCGAAGGTAAACATATGAGGAGGGGAGGACTGTTGACGCCTCTGAGGGGATTAGTGTGAGATACCAATATCAGAAAGGAAGAATTTGGGAGGACGATACCCTTAAGAACCCCTCTAAAACAGAAAGTAATGGACTTCCAAAAATGGAAAGTGATAAATTTTCCTGTCCGAAAACAATGAAAATCCTTATTGTGAATTTAGAATTATCGAGGAACCCAAACCACGACAGGCCCACATCCGGTTTTGGTCGGCGTTCATATAAACGGAGTAGACAGCCGCAGTTGAGCAGAGTTCGGAAGAGTTCCGAGGAGACGCAGACGCAGACAGAGTTGAGCTGTGATCTCTGAGACCAGCCTCGCAGGAAGCTGACTGAAAGATATCCACGCATTCCGACTTAGACTTCTAAGCAAAAACAATTTATTTTTGAAGAACTTAGACTCACACCACCAAAACAAGTTTTACGAATATCACCTGAAGATACAAAAAAAACAGTTATTGAAAAACAACTTAAGATATTAAGACTCGCCTAACAAACGCAAAGTGTCGCGTATCCATAGAAGCGGTTCGGGAGAAAGACGCAGTCCTGTATTCAGCAATCAGATATAAAAATATTTGTTATTCTTTTTTTAACACATCTGAACCTTTCGAGTTGTTAATTTATTTTCTTTTACATATACTTGTGCAATATCACCTTTGCTCGAATTCGGCTTGCATTACGGCCCGGCGACTGATTGATTTCGTCTACCTAAGATCAAATCACAACGTGGGTAGGTTAGACTAGAAGTCAAAGAAGTTACTT